AGACAACTGATAACGAGGTTTACGGGGCATGCATATAGGAAGTAGTGACTCGGGTCATTACACGCTATTTCCCCCGTAAAGTCCAGGGAGGTATTTAGCTCCGTTTAAAACAGGGGGGGTATCTGGGCCAATAGTGTAACGACAAGGTTGTATATATATGGGTCAAACTTTTAACGAGGATTATATACAGACCTTATCATAAAGTTTAGGGGAGTATTTGGACCTTTTCAGTTTTTTTATTAGTTCTTTTAAAATAGAACGATAATTTTTGTATTTAAGAATAATTTAACATTAATTTTTTTAATAACACGTATTTATTGTTGCAAAAATCTATCGCATATTTTAAATGACAAGTTCTAAAAATTGTTATTTGTTTCTTAAATTTTACATCTAATCAAACTATACCACATAAATTGAGTATTCCATCTTCTATTGTGCAGGGGTTTCTCATCTTAGCACATTTTCAAAATACAAACGTAACCTATTAAATTCTTTATAAGAATTTGCAAAATTTTCACGACTTAATAAACACTAGTGGTTAATTATTCGTCATTACATGTCAGTTTAACCTGATAACACAAAAAACATATAGACGGTTACAGGGCGGGTGTAGCACTATAATAACGCATTTAATTGAACCCATAACTTTTAACATGGAGTACAAATTTATGGGAAAAAATTCACTGAAATTGCAATAAATTGTATATATGAACCTATAACTTTATAAGGATATAATGAGGTCTAACTAAGAACCTTAAAAGTTGAATTTGTAGAATTTAAATCCTTGATCCATTTTTGCAGTGTTATGGTATACTCCCTCTGTCTCATAATATGTGTCGTGATTCTCTTGTGCACGCCCCTTAAGAAGAAATAGTTTTTGACTCTTTACCTTTATTAAATATTTTCTCAATTTATGTGTCATCTCCATAAGTAATGTGTTTGCAGTCTTCTAAGATAACTACTCCCTTAGTCTTATAATATATGTCGTGATTCTCTTATGCATACCACTTAAAAACGAATAATTTTTGGCTGCTTTACCCTTGTTAAATATTTTTTGAATATATGTGTCATCTCCATAAGTAATGTGTTTGTAGTCTTCTAAGATAATTAATTATTAAGGGTAAGAAAGGAAAAGTTTAATCAATTTTGTCTTGAACTTTTAAAATGTCAAATAATTTGAGACAACTATTTTTAGTAATCACGACACATATTATAAGTCGGAGGGAGTAAGAATTATGTAAATATCTTTTTAGAACTCGAATGTGAACTCTTCACTCTCTTCACCTGCCAACTGAATTTTGGTCCCCTCAGAAATTAATACCCTTTTATTCAATCAGTAATGTACTCAAATTTTACTATAAATAAAGCCCAATATTGCATCAATTTCTCCATCCTTCAATTTCAAGTAACATTACTAAACTTTGACAAAAGATGGGTTACAAGGCATTTCTGTTTCTTGGCCTTTTTCTGGCCATTTTTGTAATGATAAGCTCTGAGGTTTTAGCTAGGGAGCTGTCTGAGACTTCCACCACTTCAGCAGAGGACTGTAAGAACCCTTTCATTATTTGCATATATGTTCAATTATTTAACCTTTCAAATTAGTGTTTAACGTATCATAACGATATTATTTAAATCCCATTAATTAGAACAAGTACGTACATAAATCTATATTGCTCAGACTCTCCGAAAATATGGCAGAATACGTATCGAAACTTCCAAAATTAGTGCATTTTTGAAGGATACGATAGGAGTGCGGCTATATTTTAGAAAGTCCGCGCAACATAATTTAAAATGTAATTTGAAATTACTGTATATTTTCTAAGTTGTATAATTACTAGGATAATAGTAACACAATACATTAACCACAATTGTATTAGTGGATCTGTTACACCCTCTCTTTATTAATAATGTTACTTGACCAAGAATCGGCTCATTTGGTACAAGAAATATGAGATAATAAATACGAAATTAAATTTGAGATTATTTTATTGCATGTTTGATTGTGATAGAATCACTGCATACCTAATTCCACGATTATCCCTATAGGAAAGTGGCATTACAATCCCTGAAGAACTTATTTCCTAACCAAAAAAACCTCATTATATTTACATTTTAAACCTTCTAAAATATAATCATAAATCTTACAAACTTTATGGGTTACATATTTTCTAGTTCTGTGTTAGGATCACATAATATGCTAAAAGGGAAGAAGAATAAAACAGTTAAGAACAACATTCTTATTTTCACAATTGATGCAGCAAAGAAATCCAATAGCAAGAATGAAGTACATGAATCTCAATACCCTGGCGGTGGTGGGGGATACCCTGGCGGTGGTGGTGGAAACCCTGGCGGCGGATACCCTGGCGGTGGTGGTGGTGGACGTGGAGGTGGTGAACACGGTGGTGGTGGACGTGGAGGTGGTGAACACGGTGGTGGTGGTGGACGTGGAGGTGGTGAACACGGTGGTGGTGGACGTGGAGGTGG